CATCGCCTAGCGCGTTCATGAGCCGGGCCATGCCCTCCTCATCCACTCCTTCGTCATCACTGTCCGTCCCTTCGCCGTCCTCGCCCAAATCGCTGTCAAGCTCCTCCTCGCTCAGGTCCGCGGCGCCCTCCACGTCGACATAGTCCTCGTCGTTCTCGCTGTCGTCGTCGTTGTCTTCCACCACGGCCATCGAAGGCGGAGGCGCTTTTGAGGTCAACGCCTGTTTTGAAGTCGATGCACGCTTCTGCGCGCCCTTCTTCGTCGTTGTAGATGCGGTAGAGGGGGACTTGGGCGCCTTCGCGGCCGATGCTTTCGCCGCCTTCGCCATTGTGCAGGTGCTGATTCGTGGGTGTAATGATCGGTGATCGAAATTGTTGGGAGACACCGTGCGTGCAAATAGTGGCAAACATAGAGCGCCTTTGTTCTCTTCTTCACGCGCCTAATCTCTTGTCAGTGTCACTCTCTCGTACAGCTTCAACTTCAGTCGCACATCTGCGCACTCTTCTGCAGAGATATTTATCTTCCGAGCTATGCGATAGCTTTGTCCTGCTATATTTAAGTCGATAGCATCAGACTTTACTCCCTCGCAGCCTGTTCTGCCTTCAACAAAGAAGTGGATCCACTAATGCGGTGGTAGCCATATGACGAGGCAGGTGAACCGTCCTAACGTACAACAGTGAACTTCTACCTGTCAGCCTCTACCTAAATCATAGGGCTCGGTAATGGCGTGAGATGACGCCGTCGAGTCGTTACAGCAGGGTTTCCTTCTCTGCGTAAACATAGGCATGCAAACGACATTTTAATGGTTTCATTACGGCGACTGCAGTCCACACAAAAGTCATAGGAAGGACACAGGGCAAGAGAGAAGGGGCCTGGAAGTGGCCCGACGGAGTTGTGGGCGCCGAGCACGTGTTCGGAGATGCCGATATTGGCAAATGCCGAACGGATCCTCGTCTCTTCCTCCGCTCACTGGCTGTCAGTGTCATTGTCCGATCCGCCTATCGGAGACGTGTGCCTGCTGACCAATTGCTTACGCGCTTATAATGGCGTCCCGCGCGTCGAGCTTCTGGGCGGACGACAGCATGCCTTCTTACCTCCAGGACGACGATATCGAGGAGCAGGAGCGCCTCGTTGGCGACGGCGCGCTCGACGATGGGCGGACAGCGGTGCGTATGGCGCACACTGGAGTGTTCTCGGAGATCTGATGGGCCTCGCAGCTGGACAGAACAATAGATCGGATAGGCATGGGATCATACCAGTGGACACTCCTCTCACTCTGCGGTTTCGGTGCGCATATATGCACTTTTTCTTCAAGACTATCGTCTAACAAGTTCTTTTGCTCAGGCTGGATGGCAGATAATGTATTTCTTTGCTCCCCCGACGTCGCATGAAGCCGGGTTGGCGGCTTTGAGACTGACGTCTGCCCGCCGGTGCTAACCGCGCGCGCAGATGTGGATAGAGGCGGTAGCGATTATCCTTCCAAGAGTCCAAAGACATTATGACGGTGCGTAGCGCGCATACATCCCCGTCCTGGTACTTTTATGCTCTTCACAGTTCCCGACAACTACATCGGCACTGTGTCGTCGACCATGTTTGTGCGTTTCAGACGTCCCCCCTCAACTGCTCTTCTAAATTTCGCTGCAGGCTGGCATGATGTTCGGCGCGATCGGTTGGGGCAGCTGTGCGTTGGGCGGTAGATGCTTTGGCCCTTATTCATCACCGCTCAGGCTCCGACTTGCTTGGCCGCAGTGCTGCATTCAACGCTACTCTCTTCTTCACGGCCGTTTTTGGTATCTTCGCTTCATTAGCCGGCTCATTTGGCTCGCTATGCGTCATCCTATTCTTCCTCGGGTCTGCAGTCGGGGTGCGTGATTCCACCACCTGTTCACCGAAGACTGACGCCGCTCTTGTAGGGGTCTATGCCCACGGATGGCACACTGTTGCTCGAGCACATGCCTGATGGCAAGCAGTATCTCGTCACGGCCTTATCCGTCTTCTTCTCCTTTGGTGCTGTCTTCTCGGCAGTTATTGGTCTCCTCGTCCTGCCGCAGAATTCGTGCTTCGAAGCGGAATGTGATGTCGAGGCGGAAAACAGAGGATGGAAATACATGCTGGCAGTACTCGGTGTCATCGTGCGTGCTCCGACCGCAGTATCATATCCAAGTGACTGACTGTACACGCGCATATATGCAGACTTTGAGCATGTTCTTCGCTCGCATAGTCTTCTTTCGATTACACGAGTCACCGCGGTATCTTGTGCATGCAGGGAGGCACCAGGAAGCGCTCGAGAGCCTTCAGATGATCTCTCGCTTCAATGGCTCCGTCTTGTCCCTCAACCTCGCAGATGTACAGGACATACCACATTCCGAGCCTGGGGATCTGGAAGGCGATCCGAAGACGCACGACACGAGTTCTGGTGACGAACCTCCTCGGTCGACCACCATCTTCGATGCCGGCGGAGATCTTGAAGGGCAAGAGACTGAGCCGCCACAACACCCACGACACACCTCAAGTACTGGGTTCGCTAGTCTGGATGCGGACGAGCTTCCTCACTACCACTCGACGAGCGAACCTTCCACTCCAGAGTCAGGCCTCGTCCGCGCGGAGTCGCCTAAATCGCCGCCTCTTCAACCTCCCGTGCGCCCATCCCTCTCCGTCCGGCCGCGACCTCGAACGCAAGCATCGCGTATGTCGCGAGCAAGCATGATGTCGCGGCGGCAATCATCTATGTATGAGTATGAGCAACGGGTATGCAGCGCCTTGCCGCATGCCATCCGACGTCCGTTGTGGGCATGGTGGGATAGGATTATGTTGACGTTGTCGCCCGAGTGGGCGAAGACGACGGTCGTTGTCTGGGCGGTGTGGTGTGCGATGAGTGCAGGTGAGGTGGTTCGGTTGCGCACAACTTGCCGTGGCTGACTTCCTTGAATTCAGCGTTCACGATGTTCAACATGTACTTGCCGAAGCTGCTGGAATCCAAGGGGCAACCGACGTCCTCTATGGCGAATCCCAGCTCGCTGTCGGCGAGTTTGTGGGACATGGTGATATTCACGATCGGCGGGTGTCCTGGCTCCATAGTAAGTATCTCCTTCTCGTTGCAGCCAATCCCTCACAATATACTTGCAGTTAGGAGCGTATATGGTCGAATCTCGGCTCGGTCGAAGATGGTCGCTCGCAGGTAGTACCTTTGCTACAGGCGCGTTCTGCATTCTTTTTGTGGTGGTGGAGAATGCGTGGGCGGTGACCGCGACGACTGTAGGGCTGAGCCTGAATGCAACGGTGCGCCAGACAATCATTTATTCGTCGTCCGTCTGACGTTTGACATAGATTATGTGGGCCGTGTTGTATGGCTGGACGCCGGAGATTTTCAGCACTGCAGGTGCGTGGCAATTTCAATGAAGCGCTGCTCAGCGCTTACACTGGCTGTCAGTGCGCGGCACAGCGTGCGGGATCGCGTCGGCGTTGTCGAGGATGTACGTTGGCACATCACCTGGACAAACCGTCTATCTGATCATTTTGAAGAGGCGGAATGGTCTCGCCTGTGCTTGGCGGCATTTTGCTCATGATAAGCAAATCGCTGCCATTGTACGTCTCTGCGACGATGTTCACGGTGGCGGGCTTTTGCATACTGCTGCTGAGGGAGGACGAGGGCGAGGGTGGTCGTACCAAGGGGAAGCGGGCAGTCATTGCGCACTAGTCCCGAGGGGATGCCTGACTAATGTATCTTGCGCTGTATCTTGGACTTTGACACAAGGACGATGTACATGATTTACGGGATTCTCGCTACAGATTGAAGGTCAGTCCTTGCCTTGTGGTATACATAGTGGTACATCTGGCTGATCGGTCGTGTCCTTACAGACTATGCCCATCCTACTCAAAACTTCTTGAGCAATTGCAGTATCCTCACGTCGGGTGGGTTTGGTCTGGTTTTCGCCGTGATCTTGGTCGCCCAGTCTGTGCTGTTGGCGGCCTTCATCTCGTCCGTCCCGACGTAGTTGGGGTTGTCCCACTCATAGTAGGCCATGTAGGCCGGTAGATCTGTGGGTGTCGTGGCACTAGGCGCTACGTCGTTCACGGCGTTGAGCTTAAAGCGTCTCGCGCGCAGGTATCTAAGATGATCAAATTCAGTGTGTGGGGTTATCATGACGTGCCGTGGGGAAACTAGCGGGGCACATACCCTGGCACCTTGGCGAGAAGCGGGAAGTGCTCTTCATCGTACCTATTGAAGCGGAAGTCAGGCGGACAAAGATAGCAAGCAGTTCGCATGACTGACCACTTGTTGAACTCCACCTCGTCCTCAGGCGCGGGCTCCCAAAATGCAAGCAGAGCGTACTTGCCCGGTAGTGCCTCAGGTTTGTCCGCTGTGTCTGGGTGCTGCAACGTTGACACGAGGGTGTATACGCGCCGTTGAAGGGAAGCTAAGCGAGAGATGATGTCCTTCTCGTTGGCGGATGCCCCAGGAAAAAGGTTCTTATACTCGTCCGAGTCCAGCACGGCGGGAGAGTTGACGTCGTACACGCTGGCGAACTTGGGCTCCTTCCCGTCCGCTGCGATATAGCGCAGCGCGGTGTTTATGCCAGGGATAGTGAGCCGCGCGGGGACATGTTCGTTGTCTAGCCAATCTGGAAGGCATTAAGTCAATGATCTTCGGATTATACAAATGCGGTTGGACGCGCACCACTGAACTCGTCCTCCGAGACGTTCGCTCCGAGTTCGCCAAAGACGAGCAAGAGCCCTGCAGGAAGATCGACAGTCATCGTGATGGTGTATCGCAAGATGTGTGAATGATCAGCTGGGAAATCTGGAGGTAGAGAGGGCGTCTCGCTTAGCGGCACAGTCAGTTATGACGTGGGTTTGAAGTTGAACATGTGGCGGACCTTCTTTACGACAGTATAACCCTTATAGTCACTGTCAATAACGAACTCTGGGCGCAGCGGCGCAATCAGACCGACGCCACGCCCCAGGGAGCGAGCAAGGTCTGCGCGGCAAGACGATGCGCAGGACCCTTGGCGCAGTGGCTAGCGCGTGTGATTCCAGCTAACGTTTCCACAAGGTCGTCCGTTCAATCCGGGCAGGGTTCAGGACCTCTCTTTTTGTCTCTAATGGCGAACAACAGGGATGGAAAGCAGTTCGAATCGCATGGCGAAGGGCGAGCAGCAGGGAGCTATTCCTGCGATCCCGAAATGGGTCCACTTCGATCATCGTGCAGTTCTGCAGTGAGAATATCAGTAATAAGAAGCAGTGGTATGAGTGTGCGTAGAGCCACTTTCCCCACCACAAGCGTGATAGGCTCACCTCGTGCATGGTCAGGAGCTCGCATATACTCCAAAGACGAACTGTAGGCCCACTGCTTACCGTCATATGCTCCACCAGCTGTTGCATATATCGTCGAGGTCGAGGTGTGCAGGAGATAGCGTCTATCCATTCGAGCCTCCTTGCACGCAGCCAGCGGCTTTCCAGCTCTAATGTCTACAGCGTCATCAATTACTGTCGTCGCCGAAGATGCGCCCGCACAAGCAACCAACGCGACCATTGATAGGCCGGATGCGCAGAGCCAGCGTGTCAAGCCGGCCGCTGGTCGCTTCAAGCGCCGCCGCATGAGCACCAATTGCGAGTGTAAGCCGTCCATCGGATACAAGCAACGTGGTAGGTAGCAGATTATATGCCGAGCAAGCTGAATTTTTTATCGTTGTGCGCAGACGATATAAAGACGACGTCCGGAGAAAGATACGAGGTAGCCAGGCGCGGAGGGTATGTGACGGATGAAATCATCTTCATCGATTCATCCCTGCTGACGGTCGGTCTAGGAGCGAGTGAAAAAGTGATTGAGCCTATGGAGAAGAACGTTGAAGCTGTATTAATACCCCATGTTTTTCGTGAGGGAACAATGCCGTCACATAACGCCAAAGTAGTGTCTTGAAGCTTGAGAGCTTTGAAGCATCTTGTAACAGGTTCTCTTCCAGTTCTCTTCAACCCAGTCTTCGACGTTCGTATTTTGCCCCCGCGCTGCCGCTGCGGGACCTGCAATGACATCAGGTGCCACGTGCACAGCCGAGCTTTGAAAAGGAATAATGACGCACCCTAACAATAGCCACCTACGCCCCCAGGACAGCGATCGCCCTTAGACACCAATGTATCTTTAGCTGCATACTGGGTATATATGGTGAGCGTCCGGCAAATGTTCCTTCCTTCACCCTCCACCCCGCAACCAGACATCGAACTCATCGTCAACCGCCGCCATGCAGTCCGTAATTGCTCAACCCGCGCCCGTGAAGACTGCGCCAGTGCAGGCCCAGCCTCAGGCAGCCCTTGAGATGAGTGAGTACTCGCTCGCAGGTGTTCTTATATGACGCACTTACCGAGCTTCAGACATAACCGGGAGCCCTACGGCCCGCCAACAAGAGCAGCCGCAGCAAGAATGCACGCACCACCGCCATGGCGCCTCGCGCATTCGCGGAGGCGGCGCGGGCAAAGTACGCTCTACTCTTGAGGTCCGTCGCTGCTGCTAAAGTATCATCTGCAGGATTGCTTCCTTGGCTGTCTGGGATGTTTCCTGTGCTGTGGTGCGTTACACTTACCTGGCTATTCATATTTGCCGCTGACTGGCATCTTCGGACAGAATGTTGCGAGGTACGTTCAAGTTTCCGCCGGTTGGCACCATATTCACCGTACGTTAGGGCATATGCGATTGCGTCGCCGACATCATCTGTAAGTTGTCATCTCCGTTACCGTCCTCGAAGCTGGCAGTTGACTGTCTTACCAGGTTGCCCGTGCGAGATGTGCTGTTAAGGAGACTGAATAGCCAGGAAGAGCGTAGGGAAGGACCACGGACCAGTAGTAGACTTGCGCTAGCTAAGAGCCAGCAAGCCGCCGAATCATGTACGCCATATACACCATATTGTGATATCGTTGAGCCTCTGCAGTCATTGGCGGCGAGCAGGTCAAGGACGTACCATATCCCTATCGCGCAAGCTGCGAGATAACGGCAAGTGGCGTAGAGCGAGCCTATCGTAGGTTGCTGCGAACGAGGCCTACACTGGCCGGCCTCTTACTGTTCGTGAGTCTTCCACGTCGTGTACGGTTGAGGAGAGTCACACACCGATCTTCGGGGTCTCGACACCACGTGTAGCAACCGACCAGCGACTCCGAGCGAGCGATTCGGAATGAGGTTCGACACGAGGGGGGACAGCCCCCGGCATCCCTCTTCGTCCGACTTCGGGACCCGCTGCGGTCACGGCAATTAGATGTCAGCTGTGCCATGCCGCGCCAATTCTGCTCTGCCCTGGTGACTGCAATGTGGCCACCAGGCTGACATGCGGTAGCGGTTCGGGTGACGTTATAACCATCGTCCACTTTCTCTCACCCCTCCTTCCATCCATCCAGCACAACTCGCGCGCCACATCTATAACTCACCCCCCAGGCTCACAACTCGCCACCCAACGTCATGCAACCCATCGGTGAACTCCCTGCACCCGCCCCCGCGAAGACGGCTCCTGTGCATCTGCAGGTGCAGCCGGTCGCGCAGATGCAGATGCAGCCCGCGATGGAGATGAGTGCGTTCGTGGATCTTTCATCTTCGCACGAGCTCACGACGTTTAGCCGTCGCTGGTAAAGGTCCTGGTGGCAGTCAGCAACAGCATCCCGCCGCTCGCGTTCGCGGAGGGGGTGCAGGGAAGGTGAGAGCAGTCGCCGCCCGATCACCGAAATCCATGGCACCCAACCGCCATGACATGTGGTCCCGCCCGGGCGGCATCCGACCATCTGCTGCCAAACACACCGCGTTCACCCCGCAGCTCTCGCTGACCCGCTCCGCTTCTGTATAGGGTTGTCTCCTCGGCTGTCTTGGCTGCTGTATCTGCTGTGGTTCGTTCGCGCACGCTGATATTCCGACTAACGTGCTGATAACGACCTTTCCATTCTTCAGAATGCTGCGAAGTAAGTTGTAGAGCTCAAGATGTGCTACCGCCCACTGACCGCGATAACCTATCCCTCAGGGCATATGCGAGTGTTTCGCAGATATCATATGTAAGTCAACCTGATCCCCGCGCCGCCGTTCATACTGAGGTCAGCGTGCAGGCTGCCCGTGCGAGATGTTCTGCTGAGGAGGCCGAATCATACGATCCGACGCCGTCACCGAATCAAGCGCGCACAAGGCGTTGTAGCATCACATTTCATTCGTGTTAGCATCTATGCACTCCATATCAGTTCGGATGCCCAGCGGACTGTAGCCACTCACCGTGAGGAACCAAAACTCTATTTCTTGGCGATGCTGTCTAGATCGTGGTGCCAAGATGACCGGTACTCTGAACAATTATGCCGCAACTTAACTTCGTAAACGTCAATCCATGTGCGTCGCCTTCCGCGGCACCATCGCCCACAGCAACATCATAAGCCCCATCATCGACACCAAGCTTCGAGTTGCCGTCAGCTTCGCCAGTGCTTATAACGAAGATGAGTGGACTCACAAGGGCTGCAGGCTCCCGATACCCGTGCTCTGAGCAAGCGCGCCCGTGATGAATGGGAGCACCGCACTCCCCGCCTGCCCAAAGCCAGCAATCCAGCCAATCGAGGGAGTCAAAAGCCACGCGGGAAGAATACGCGCGGCCTGATTCATGGCGATTGGATAGAACGGACCGAGGATGACGCCGACAAGGGATACGGCGACACCACCTCCGATGAGCGAGGGTACGAGCCATACGACAAGCTCGAGTCTGGTCAGGGATGTAAGGCAGGAGTACAGAACATGTATGAATGACGCACCCGATGGCGAGGAGAGAATAGATGAAGATGACAAGCCACTCGCCGACCTGAGACCGTTAGCGCTCAATTGTCTCGCGTTCAGGACAGGACCCACCTTTTCGTTCACCCATAGTAGGAGCAAGCGGCCAATCATCAGACCTATGGACTAATCAATCTTCAAGTAGAGATCAAGCTCCAGTCGCTCACCCGCGAAAAATCCAGACGAAATGTAGCCAGAGTCGGGGCCACCGCCACGCTCGTCAATCACGTACGACACAATCCAGCCGCCGATAGTCACTTCCACACCGACATAGATGAGTATGAACGCCGCGAGGATATGCATGTTCTTCAGCCGGAAGATTTGCTTGAAGTTGCTTTCGGTGCTGACTCCCTTCTCCTGCGGTGGCTGGCCGATGCGCACCATGCATTCTGTAAGTGCAAGGGTCAGCACAGCGAGCGCACGGCACACCAAACTGACATACCATCGTGAGTCTTGAAGCGAAACACGGCGATCTGTACGACGACACTAGACAGTCCTAGCCCCATGGATGCGAGATAGTGAAAAGACCAGCGAGTCATCTGGGAGAATTGCGTTGAGACAAGAGGAGCTACTAGCGCGCCAAAGCCTGTTGGCCACAATCAGTCCGTAAGAATCAGGGAACAGACAATGAGCATACCGTAGGCAGCATGGAGCAAACCCATCTTCGTCTCGGAATTGTCCTTGAGGGAAGCCACGTAGCCATTGGCTTGAGCGTCCTGAGAGAGGAAGAACGCATAACATGAGTATATGCGCGTAAACGGTGCATATATGCGCGTCGCTGATGGAGGTCTGGGACATGACTTACCTGGACAGCCATTCCAACGCCGTTGATGGCATATCCGACGCAAAGAACGGGGAAGGGAAAGGCTGGCGCGTCAATAGCGTACGCGATTGTCTGAAGAGCGGAGCCTGTGATGCATCTTTAGTCTTTCCGCTTGTGGGCGACACAGTACAGTACTTTCCGAGGGCCATAAGCTGAAAACGACCATGAGTAGGTAAACACGGGCGGAAATGATCACGCACCTTCCCAAAACCAAGTCGCTCCGACAGCGGGACGTTGATGAGGGCACCAGTGACGAAGCCCTGGGATCATCAGTAACAGTCTGAAGACTCGTAGTGATTCGCTCACTATGCAAGCACAGACGAATAGCAGAGAGACGATCGCGTAGTCGACCTGAGGTTGATATGTTCAGGTTGTGAGCTTCCGAGATCTCTGTGTAAGCACGCACATCATAGACCTGCTGTATACGTGGAAGAAGAGGACCTGTAGTCCCGTCGTTCCATCCCGCAAGGACCATTGAC